TTTAGGAAAAAAATGGAAATACACAATATTTGACACAGTAAACAAGACAATATAGGCCCAAGTCTTTTGGTACTACAAGCTATGTGCTCCTGTTCTTGACCATCATTATTCAAGAGGACTCTAATGACATTGTTAAATGACTTCTGAAAGAAATTCAACTTGATTGTTCTAATAGTATTTCTTTATACTGATTATGAGTCTGCATGTGGACATTATTCACTGTAGAAATTGGTCTTCTCGAAAGCAAAATAAATATAATAGAAACATGCTGGCAATCTCCTTAAAATAAGCAAATATGCAGTATTGGTTTGTGCCTTGACAGACAAAGGTGGCAATTGTTCTTCTTTTATAATGACAATATTCTCATACATTTATCTCAATGTTGTGGGGAAAGTCTACCCTGGTTCAAATGAATATAACTAAACTGATTCTTATTCTTAATATAAACTTAAGTTGGATTCATACATATTCAAATGTGTTTGAATGTATTTATTACTTCAACTTAAAGCAGTAAATTGTTAGTGACCAAAATCAAAGTAAGCAAGAGTTAAATCAGTGGAAAATGTTCCTGACTAGGGATGTCAGGATAAAATTTTATAATAGAAAGTAATTTCAATTAAGCAAATGCAGCTTTTTTTCAATGCTCAAAAGGTCTATAGAGATGCTTTAGTAAATCAATATTTTCTGAATCATTATTTTATATTATATTTTATAATTCACATGAAAAAATAGCTGTGTAGAGTGCTATGCACAACTGGGATGGTTTAACGATGTCAGCTTTGCATAGAGAAAAGCAATATACTGTAACAGTGGGCTTGGTTTCTTCTTTTCCTGATTATTCCAGCAAAGCTAAAGTAAGGATTGCTAGCAGCTGTAGGTATGAAATTCCTTGTGTGTGCATGTAGTACAAATAACAATTGAGCAAATCCCAGCTTGCAGACTTCAGCCATTTTGTTGACACTGTCTACAGTCTGATCTTCCTCACTTGGGCACCTGACTTGCATCTGCATTTAAGAGCCTATTGAGGCAGGTTTCCAAAGGAAGCACCGAAACTTTTTGCACAGGTACTGGAGACACGTGCCTTTGAGAGCCTCCAGTCCTCCTGAGCTGTGCACCTGAACTCAGCCAGGTGGGACTGCTTGGCCCTGCACTGTCTCCTGGAGCTGTTTCTGGGATTTGAGTGCTTCCTACAGAGTGCTGCCGCTCTGCCTGACAGCGCTGGGGTACTAGTCAGGCACCGGGGGTAGGGGAGGGTGGCAGAGGGCAGCTCCCAGCAATGCCTGCTGCAACTTTCACACTTTGTCTTCAAGCTGCCTCCTGAAGATTTTACTGTTGTTCCTCACCCTGACATTCCTTAATCAAAAAGACTTGTCCTAGAGTAAAGGTACGTGTTTCTTCCTGGCTCAGATGGAAATACTACTAAAAAAACAAGGATCCCAGGTGGACCTCAGTTTATCTCAGATGTGCTACAAGTGCTCTTGAGTTTTCAAAGTGCACCGGGGGGAAATTTCAGGGACCAATTCAGGTCATGGTTTAAGGTAAAATAGATTTTTATTAATACTCGTTGCAGCTATACATTTGTGGATGTTACCAGTGAAGGCAATAAGAAAAACAACTATAAACTTATAAAAAGAAGCATTTTATTCCTGCCCTTGCCACTACATGTACTGGGAAGGAACTATATTGGCTCTTTTTTAGCTAGTAATGTCTAATGCAGGAAGACAGGAATAAGCAGAGTAGAAAGCACCTGTCAGCTCTATTTCCCACTCTCCTTGATTAGCATGAAACATTAATAGGGCTCTCAGAAATTCTGGTCTGAAATGGGCTTTGCTTGAAAACGTGTCTGCCTTTACTGCACAAAAGCTGCTGTCATTAAAAGAGGGCAGATAACTAAAGAAGACTCTTTCTTGAAATTTATACCATTTTTTCATACAATGACAAATTATTTTAATAATAGGAATCGCACACTCTGCCATTTGTATAATGTTTCCCATAAAATTCTCCCATTAAATTTGCTCTTCTACTTGACTCATATCTTTTTAAAAAAATGACACACACAAAATGATACATCACGCATTCTTACAAAGAATTGGAAGTGAACATACTGTAATGGGTTAACATACGTTTTAATAAAATTTTCATTGTTGCACATTTCACTTTTCGGTACTGAGAGCCAGGGCTGTACCAGTAACCCCAGGCAATGCCTAAGGATAAAACAAATCATACGGTAGTGAACTATTTTCACCTATTTATCCTTCTACTGAAAATATATTCATAAATACAAAATGAAGCTAAGGTACATAGCCAGTAACATTACATATAACAAAGATATTCCCGAGTATTTTTGTTCTATTATTTTTTAATAATGTACCTTCTGCATTTCTAAGATACTTCAGCTTCTGTTTTTCTTCCTTACATATCTTGTAAGGCACCAAACTGTTTTCATTTTTGTCTCCCCAAAGTGTGCAGTAACAAATATTTGAATCCATAGAGTCAAATTAAATGCTATTGCACAACCTATTATAGAACATTTACTACAAGTCAAAAATGTATGCAGGTCTATTTATCTAGCAAGTGGAGTTTCCTGAAGAAGAAACTTTTGATTTGTGGCATATATAAGTTTATTTGCATGTAGACAGACAATGTGCCTCAAAAGATCTGTGTCATCAAAATATTCCTGTACACATCAGCATATTAACTGCTTGCTAGATAGG